CAGCCCTGAGGTTGGGCTGCTGCATGCAAGTGCTGGAAGCAGCTGCCAGCCCCTCCCTGGAGACCGTCCCTGCTGCACTGCTGTCTGCCTCTTCCATGTCTGTTGGGTAACGGTCTGCGGCCAGGTAACTCACGCTGCCAGTTGGAGCTCCTTCTGCGGGGCTAAATGGGCAGCGAGGGCCATGCCCAGGAACACGGGGGTTAGGACTGAGCTATTGCCTCTGACCAGCGACCTTCCTGCTGCAGCCTCCGTTTCCTTGTGTCCTTTGGGGCTTGGGTATGCCATGGAAGAGCAGGCAGAGGCCCAAGCCCGAGGGAGATCCTGTCTTGTGCTTGGTATTTTTTCTGTGGCCCTGCCTTCCCGAGGGTGGCACAAGCAGTGCCTTACTTAACAGTGCCTCTTGCCTTATTCTTCAGCAGCTTTTGTAGGATCCTTGTGACTGTTCCAAACAGTAGTTCTGAGGCTGGTGCAGGCAGTTTGTGCAGCTCTGCCGGGCAGTACTGAGGAGCCAAGGCAGTGCATGCAGGCCTGCGTTAGGTCAGGCAGCAAGCTGGGCTGGAGGAGGGAGGGCTTGCCTTCCGCTCTGTTGCATCTGTTGTAGCTGGTGGGGAGCTCTGCATTTTCTGTTGGTTACAAGGGCCTCTCTCAGAGGAACAGCACTGGTGTGGCAGTCCTTCCTCCAGAGCGGCAGGCACGGGGAGCGCTGCATGAGCTCCCAGGGCACTCGTGGGGCCTCTGGTTAGCATCACCCCTCCCCGAGCTGTGGGGCGCTGCTGCCCTGGCTCTGGGACTGCAGCCATCTGGGGCAATAGTGCAGTTTGGAGGTGTAGGATTGTGATGTGTTAGGCAGTGCTATCTTTTGTGCTGTTGCCTGCCTGAGTCTTCCCCCTCCCCCTGCCTGCTTTCCCCTGCATCAGCCTGCATTTGTAAAATGAAATAAATATTGACACGGACGGGATGCTATTCAATTTGTCCTGATCACTGGGCTGCGGTGAGTTCTGACAGAGCACAGTGTAAAACATAAGCTCAGGATGTAATTTCTACTGTCAACATGATGTACAGTATGGCTGTGCCAAATACACACCGACGAACTGCACAAGCTCTTACGAGGAGGGGCCGGGTTGCACTGGTAATTGGGAAGTGAGGATGGGAGAGCAGCAGGAGAAAGGGCATCGCCCTGGGCCCAGGCTAGAGTGAGCCTGGTGCTCCAGTGTGTGCACAAAGCCTGCCCAGTTCTGTGCCCGAGTGCTCCAGCCGTGGGTGCTGCGCCCCTGCAGCCCCATGCTGCCGCCAGCCTGGGGCACTGCGCCTGGTTCTGGCTGCTACAGCAGCAGCTCCTGCTCCTTGTTTATGGCTCCGCTGCTCACGTGTGGCAGAGAGCTCTGGCGCTTCCAGCTGTTGGTGAAGGGTCTTCAGTAATGTGGGGAAATGTAGGTGCTAGTTTTGGTTCCTATGCACAGGACTTCTGTGGTGCTTTGCAGCCCTGGGATGCTTTGAATCCTGCTGCTGCAAGGGCACAAGCAGGACTTGAGGCTCTTGGGTCCGCTGCCTCTGGAAGAGGTCTGTGATGTGACAGCCAGAAAGAAAGGGGTGCACAGTGAGAAGACATGACACTGACCCTAGCTGTGGCCTTAAATGAACCTGTGGCAGAAGAGAAATGGGCTGAGAATTCATGGGTGGAGAAGAATCCGGTTTGTGGCAATGAGCCTTGCCACAGATGTGGGTGGGTGTTTCTGGGTGGCTCTGGGCATGGAGGGCTGGAGCTCGCAGTAGGTTGTGTAGCTGGGCTCTGCAGTCCGGGACCTGAGCGTCTCGGTGCACATCGAGGCAGGGCGGGTTGCGCTGTCTCTGTTGCTGCCCATGGCAAGAACACACAGCTGGCTCAGCTGAGCGCAGCTGAACCTCGGACACGGGACGCAGCCACCAGCAGACCACACTAGTTCAGACGTGGTAGTACGAGGAGAAATCTGTTCAATGTAAAAAGCACCATGATGGCTGAGACTCTGAACACGGGGTTGTGGTTCCTACAGCAATGACAGCCCAGCCCGTGTGTGCTCAGCGGGACCCTCCTCTCGGTGCAGGAGCTGCTCTGTGGAGAGCTGGGATGCAACAGGGCTGAGCAAGTTGCCTTGGGAACTGTGGGCCAGCCTGGAGCAGCGCTGCTGGAGCTGTGCTCGCCCACTGCGGCATCTTCTGCCCTTGCTTTCTCTTTGCCTTGCTTTAGTGTGTGCATTTAAGTTGTTGCTTTACTGGTTTACTGATACTGTTTAGGATTTAGCCACTTCCATTTATATGCTGTAACTCTGGCAAGGCTGAAACTAAAGATGCAGCGCCATCCCTGAGTGCACGCGGGGCTGGCTCCAGAGGTGGCTCGGGTAGTCGGGTCATGGAGGAAATCAGATGTGAAATAGAGCGATGAGGGGAATGTGGGAAGCTCCTCCTGCCCTCACAGAGCCAGTGTTGATGCTGTCTGTCAGCTGCGTGCCCTGAACGCTGTGTGCTGGAGGCAGCCAGGGCAGCGTGCTGCTGTCCTGCCAGCTCTGTCAGGGCCCTGGCATCCTGATGTTGCTCGTGGTGCCTGGGTTTGCACTGCTGGGCTGGCTTGCTTTCAGCCTCCCTGCATGTTCAGGAGGTCTTCAGTGCTTGCAGAACTGCTCTCTGGCAGTGGCATTGCTACCTGCTCAAGGCTTCTGGCAGGGCTCTATAAACCCATGTGGAGTAGCCTGAGTGGCAAGGAGAGGGTGTTGGGGGGGCAGAGGGGAGACCAGCAGCTGGTGGCAGCCTCTCCCCAAGGCTCTGTAGGCCTTGAACATGTGCAGATGGACTATTTGTTAAGGTCTCGTTCTGGCAGTTGCGTTTACCAGGTACAACCCATTTTGTACTTGGACTTTGGGTGCATGTGGAGGCGTTGCCTGCAGAAGTGCTGTAGAGTGGCAAGGGCAGAGATGCTGGACGGGACATTCTCCTGCACTCACTGTTTGCCCTGGGTGCTGGCCTGGAGCTCTTGCTCTGGCACAGCTTGTGCTCTTCAGTTTATTGACATCTCTTGCTGTCTGAGGAACTTGCTCCAAAATAGCCACAGATTTCCCATATGTGAGAAATTGGAGAGGTGCTGTTTGTGGCAGTTGTGCTCTATCTCTTATGTGTATCTTCTCTATATCCATGTAAGCATCATAAACCAGGTGTGTACGTTTCCTGTTATTGTCACTGGGAGTGTCTGGCTCTGAAGCCTGAGCTCTGTTGCTCCAGAGCAGGATCTTTGTAGCTGTGTTTGATCAATGGAGGCTGCTTTTACTTTACCCTGTAAGACTTCTAACAGGGGTAAGGAATTACTCAGTCTATCACCCATTTACAGGCCATCTTGCCCCCATAGTGTACTCTCCAGTGTTAAATAGTTTGATGTTTGATAGGGGCTCTCACCAGATTGGCAAGAGTAGCTGGCCCCTCAGGAGTGGTGGCAGGAATGGCTTCGGTGTGGGGAGGCGTGACTGCAGGAGGGAGCCGTGCCATTGCCAATAACCTTGCATGTCTGTGCAGAGATGTCTTCATAACAAACGCTCTGACAAGGAAGAGGGGTGGGGAGGAATGTTAGTGCTTCTGTACCGTGATTGCTAACATAAAAATACACGGGAGACCCCGTGTTCTTTGGAGCGTGAAGTGCACAGGGCTTGCATGTGTGATGGCTGGTGTGCAGGTGTGCGTGGAATATAGCATGTGTACACCCAAAGGAGGCACAAATAGGGACAGGAGAGTGCTAGTGTGTATGAGTGCTGTTAGTTGTGTGTGGGATGGAACAAGAGCGTGAGCCCTCATGTGTGAATAGATTTGTGCATGCTGCATGGCACACTGCTGTGAGCCATGAGCAGGCAGTGTGGACGAGTGCCTGGCACTAAGGCCTTGTGCTTTTCAGTAGGTGTTTGTCCAGGCTGGCAAATGCAGAAGTGACAGTGCAGCTCACCAGATGCTTTGGGAAACTGCCCTGTTGGTGCAGCCACACCAGGGGAATGGCAAGTGCAAGAAAGAGCTAGGGAAACACCTGTGAGCTGCTCCTGCTCTGAACTGCTGGGGCTGTTTAGAATCATGCAGGGGGCTGTGCAGAGCACAGTCCAGTTCCCCTTCTGCAGGGAGTAGATGGATATCTAGGCCAGGATTGTCCCTCTTTCCATTCATCCTCTTCCTCCTCCAATTTAGAGTAACAGATGACAGGAGATTAATTCTGCAAACCAGTGAAGATGTGTGTGTTTCATGAGTAGCTCTGGCTGTGGCTGGTGGTGTAGAGCTCTGGTGGAAGCTCAGGGCGTTGGTGCAGGGACATGGATGCTGCACAATCATCCCTGTCTTCACTGAAGACAGCCTAGCCTTGGCCACGGGTCTCATGTCTTTATCCTTAGTGCCTTGCAGGTGGCTTGAAGCATACTCCAGATCCCTTTCTGTTAGCTTTAAAGTCAGCCAGGTGGCAAGTCCTTGAACAGGTGCTGTTCCCCTAGCCCATGGCTGCAGAAGTGAGACGTCAGGAAAACTTCTTCTGGAAAGACTAGCCACAGTTGCTGGAGAGCCAGCACTTCTCACTGTCAGGTGCTGGCATCCCCCGGCGTGAGCCTCGTTGGTGTCTGCAGGACCAGTGGGGCCTGGCCCTGGCAGGCAGAAGCAGCTGTGCAGTGCTGGGGACTCCCTGCACATCTGCCCCTGGTGTGGGCAGCAATGAGCCCTGCCAGCAGCAGGCCTGGCTCCCCTTGGCACCAGGGCAGCGTCCTCGGCAGCGGGGCTCCTTGGTCTCAGAGTTCGGGCAGGAGCAGATGTCCATAGCGGTGGGCTCTCTGCGCTGGCTGCCCTCCCTCCTGGGGTCCCTGCTCTGGCCAGACCTGCAGAGCTGGGCTCTGCTGGGGGGCACCTGGGGCAGGGCAGGGCAGGGGGGAGATGCTGACCAAGGCTACAGGGGCAGCACGGGGGGGCACAGCGCCCCGCTCTCACACCAGCACTAACACCTTGGCCTTTTCCAGGCTCCTGGGGATGCTGCTGGCTGCCCTGCGCCTCCCTGCGTGAGCCAGCAAGGATGGAAGTGACCGACATCAGCTGGGCCAGGGACCCTTCGCCAGGTACTGGGCTGTCACCCCCCTGAAGACGGGAGTTACAGATGGGCTTGCTGACCACACATGCGGCACAGGCTGCCAGACCCCTCGCACGGTAGTCCAGGGCCACTGCAGGACAGGCAGACACTGGCCACGGTGGCTCATCCTGTTAGCTCCTCTGTGAAACGTGTGTGGAAAAGCTTCCCTTTGCTTCCTGTGAACGACGGCTGCAGGTGCCTGTGCCCCACGCGCTGCAGTGGAGCTCCCTGCCCGCTGGCAGGGCGGGCAGCAGGCCCTGTGTGACCCTGCTCCCCAGCGAGACCAGCAGCAGCCAACTGCAGAGCCGTGTAGCTCCATCCCCAGAGACAAATGCCAGCTGCCAGACTCTTCTCTGGAGACCCAGGAGCAGCCGGCGAGGCACCAGCACTGACTGCTCCCGTGGCAGCAGCGAACGCTCCGGGACACCTGTTGTCACGGATGTGACCCCCGCCTGCTGGGACAGGAGCGCCGCAGCACACGGCGTGCGGCGGGGATGGGGATGCTCTGCATGGACCAGTGACCCCCATGCTGCTACTGTGGACTTTGCTCCTCCGCTTCCCTAAAGGCTGCTAATCGCCTGACCAAACGCTACTGCTCATGCAGCCTCCCAGAGTGCGATGGCAAAGGGTCTGCAGGGCTTCTCGTGGACCATGCTGCTGCTGTTCTGCGCCATCCAGGAGCTGGGGGCCTGGGCCATGCACACAGCAGTGGAGGGCCCTGGCCTGGGGCAGCCGGGGGACCCCGCGCTGCTGGCCAGTGGGCGAGTGAAGCGTGGCTGGGTCTGGAATCAGTTCTTTGTGGTGGAGGAGTACACGGGCACGGAGCCGCTGTATGTGGGGAAGGTAAGGTAACGCTGCATCTATGGGGCAGAGCAGGGCACGCAGCAGCACGGCCAGACTGGGGAGAGAGGGCCTGCGCACAGACTGCTCCTGGGGCCCTGGTTAGAGAAGTGCTCTGTGGGCTGGGGTGGCAGGAGCTCGGTCCTATCTGGGGGGTGGCCACGTTAATGTGCTCCTGGAGACTGTAGGGCAGGAGCACCCCAAATTCACATCTATGTTCTTTCAGTCGTGTGCTGGGTTCCCGTGGTGTTTGGGGGGGTGCAAGAAGGGCAGAGCTCAGGGTGTTGTGAGGGCAGCAGGGAGGCCTCAGCCCTGGCTCTGTGGGAGGACCTGCTGGGCAGGAGCAGATGCGCTGGGCTGGCAGGGCAGGTATCTGGTCATGCTGGTCCCCACCATGTCCTGGGACCTTCCTGCGCTGGTGGTTGCTGCCGTAGGTGCAGCCCTGACTTCCTGAAGGTGGTTGGTTGGTCCCTGATCCTGTAGCCCTTTCAGCGTGTGGATAATGTGCTGGGGTTTGTTTCGGGGCCCTCCCTGTGGCTCTCTCCTGGTCCTGGAAGAACCTGCAGGCTACAGCAGCTCTTTCCTGGTTCATTATCTCTGCGGCTGGGGCTGGCAGAGGAGATGTCCCGCTCTAGCTGTGCCACAGAAATCCTGCTCTTGTTTGTGGCCAGAGCGAGGCTGTTGCAGGGTTTATGTATCTTAGGCTGGCCTGCACAGCATAGTGTGGCAGGTGCTAGGTGTGGGTGTGCAGGGCTTGGAGGGATGCTGCGGGCCAGCACTGGTGACAGCTTTTCTGGGGCTCATGGGGAGCTGTGCCCATTGGGTCTGTCCTGCAGGCACTCCTGGCTGCTGGCCGGGCCAGACCCGTGCTGGGCTTTGCACAGGCAGTGGCACTGATGATCTTCCAGGGAGAGCACTGGGAGGTTTTGGGCTGCTCTAACCAGTGCGTGCTGCCCACTGTGAGAAGGTGTCAGCGGTGGCAGGAGCACACTGCTGTCCCCGTGCTGGAAAAGCCCTGGTGTCCCCCCAGCAGTCTCCCTTCCCAGCAAGGCCGTGGCTCTTCGTGCTGTCCTGACTCTTGCCCTTGCTTGCACACCCTGTGGAGAGGAGTGCTGGCAAAGCTGGAGGTGCTGGCAGTTGAGGGAGCCTTGCAGGGCAGGACTGGGTCTGTCCTTGGTAACTCACTGCTGCCCTGGTGTGTGACCTCTCGGGGCGGCTGGGTGCGGACCTCTGCTGCCCCCACTCCTGGAGTCATGGGGCTGAAGGAGCATTTCACCTTGGGGTTGCTGGGCTTTGTCCTCTTCTGGGAGCTGTGGAGAAGCTGCCCTGTGGCTCTCAGGTGTTGGGAGGATGCATTATTTGTGTAATGTTGAAGGCAGTGCCAGCTGTTGGGACCAGAGGAGCGTGTGGCAAGCCTGTGGGGGCATGGGCTTTTCTCAAAGGAGAATGCCCCAGAGCTCCTGCAGCAGGGCTGTCTGATGGCCTCAGCTGTCTGGTCATGAGTCTAGAGAAGGCTTGGAAATGGGCTTCTTGGCTAGGGGCCAGCCGGGATTTCAGTGGTGATTTGTGTCCATTTCAGCAGACACTCGAAAGCCGCACTCCTCCACCACCATGCTCAATGCAGTTACAGCTAATTCACAGCTCCCCTGGGAAGCGACTTGAAGCATCAGGCCCTGTCAAACTCCAGAGGTAGCCTAGCAACCACCTCATCTCCAAAACGAACCCAGGAACCTACAACTAACCCATTTTACAGCCCCTTTCCACATCATGCACTGCATCACCCACCCTGCTCAGAATAAGCAGCAGCCTGCACTGAAAACCATTCCCTGTGAATATTGTTCCCAAGGGCTGAAAGCAGCCTGGGGCCGGGCTTTCCTTGGGCTGGGAGAAGCTGGGTTGCTCACCTGGGGGTGGCCCCCGAGTTCCCAGGGCAGCGTGCCAGCCCTGGCACAGCCTGCAGGGCCGGGAAGGTCCCCGTGGTTCCCGGCGGCGCAGCTGGGGCTTGCCCTCTCTGGATAGCTCTTGCACACCTACATGTGCTTTTTGAAGGGCCGATACCATTTCCATAAAATCTGGGTTCTCTAGCTAATCCTTCTTCTGAACTGTAATTTCCCCTGAGGCTGCTGTCAGTTTGATGTGGATTTCTTTGGGTTTTTTAAATAGAATTATGGGGTCAGCACTAGTTACAAACTTCTGCATGTGGACAGATCTATTTTAGATAGAGGAGAGGATTAAAAGGAAAAAAGCAGATTTAATTAAGTTGCTAATATTTAAAGAAAATTGATGAACTCCGGCTTTATGAGTTGGGGCAAACAGTGTGCCTTTATTACGGGCTAGTTTTTATTTGATTTCCTTTCTTTTCCAGACCCAGAGTCATTTTTTATTTGTGTATCTGTCTGTTCTGCTTAATAAGGAATGTGCACCTTTGTTCACATTTAATTTTGATTTAATTATTAGTAAGTAAGTAATGGTTTCATAAAATTTCCGATTGTAGCCTTTCAGGACAAGGAAACTATTTTCCCGTTGAGCAAACAACAGATGGGCCTTCTGTGCACCCTCGGGCCGGCCCCGGCTGCTGCGGGTGCTCAGGCCTTGGCCCGAGGGGCTGAGCTGCTGGCGGGGATCGGGAGTCGCGGGTGCTCCCGGGGCTGCCGGCTGTCACGGCTGGGCCGGGAGCATCCCGGGGATGCGGGCTGGGCCTGCAGCATCTCCCCTCAGAGGTCCGTAGCCTGTTATCCCGCCCTCCCCCATTAGTTGTTGTTTAGCCAAGCAGCACAGATTTAGCTCTTTTAATCTTCCTTTGTAAATCAATCTCTACAGCCCCTTGAGCCCATGCTCCATTTTTCTTCCTAGCATTCCAGTTTGCAGGGATGCTGGTGGCTGCTCTGAGCAGTCAGCGATGAGCAAATATGTAAAGAGAATGTGCTGAGAGCTCAGTGTGGTGCTGGGAAGAGGTGCCGGGTGGTTTATCTCTGGCCTTATTATTAATCCTGAGCCTGGTGCTCAGCAGAAGAACGCAGGTTTGTTACCTGCACCGTACAGACCAGGTGTAGCTTTTTCATTCTGAAAAGCTTGATCTCCAGTGGAGCAGCGACGAGCATGGGGAGGATTATAGAGTGGAGGGGCAGGAGGCGCCCCACGGCCGGCGGGGAGGGCTGGGGCAGCATCGCCGGGGCAGGCTGCTCCCTCAGACCTGGGCAGAGCGTCCCTGCAGGCACCTCCCGAGCGGCTCTGCCCTGGCAGGTCTGTGGCCAAGGCACCGCGGTGGTCCCAGCACCGATCGCTAGCTGAGTGGAGGTCTCCTTCCTGGGCAAGCCTTGGGAGATGTTTCAACATGGGCAATAATATGCGAATGTTGTGTAAAATGCATTGAATTGTCTAACGCGTGGGCCCCTCACTCATGAAATAAATATATAAACTGTATCTAACAAGACAAATATAATGAAGGTGTCATAAAAAAGAGGCAGCTCTGGTATAAATTCTTGCTGGTAGAGCTGTATGTCTGAAAGGTGGATTATAGAACTGCAGTTTGGAAGATTGAATGGCCCATAAACATTTTCATATTTCATTAGCCGATTAATGGACAGCTTTTTTCTTTTTTTGGGGGACACACACACACGACTTTGCTGATTCTAAGCAGGAATTATAGGAAGCAAATGAAAGCAGCTGATGAAACCTTTCCGGGGGCTTGTCCCTTTATGGATTGTCCCAATTAATGCCCATGCCGTGCTCTGTCAAGATGCATTCTGCCTGTCCAGTTACTGTTAATAGATTTCTCATAAGTGGCTGGATTGTAAAAACCTCATAACTCAGTTTAATGCCACCAAAAAAATTATCTCTGCATGTCTGGCCTGGATTCCAGTCAGCTCCTGGTCCATAGGAAGCTGCTGTTTACCCTTTCTTTTCCTAATTTCAAACACTGTCTTAATGAAAAATGGAGACTGGCTATAAAAGAATCTTCCACGGGGTCTGTTTTTCACCCTGAGTACAGGCCTGCTTTGCCATGTCTCCTGCAGACTTTGCTCAGGTGGGGGCTCTGGGTGTGATGCTGTGATGGGTTGGCTGCCCTGTTACCTTGCCCCCTAAACCTGATACAGATGTGCAGCAAGTGTGTGAGCTCTCAGGCAGGGAGACTCGTCAGCACTGACTGCCCAGAGAACGGCGCGGGGCTGTGGCTGGGGCAGAGCAGGCAGATGAGGGTGGGCTTTGGGTAGAGGGGGGCAGATGCTGGTGGTGGTCTGCCGTGCAGCTGGGGAGAGGTGATCCCACACTGCCTGGGTCCTTGCCCACAGGGAAGCCCCTTTCTTTGGAGTGCTGTTGAGCTGTCCTTCCCTCTTCCATCATCTCCTAACCCCACAGTGGCGGGGTTTGTCCCTTGGTTTGTGGTGTGGGTGGGTACTGGCAGGATTTGTGATCTGCTGAGCGTATGGTGGCATAGGCAGGACTGAAGTTCCAGTTTACTGGGCCTTCCTCCACGCCCAGGCATCGTTTGGTGGTGCTCTGTGCTCCTCGCTGCTCCAGCAGTAGCAGAGGGAGCAGACCGGCACCACGCAGGGTCCTTGGGCACCTTGTGCAGAGGCTCCGCACCTGGGTGATCTCAGCCGTGGGGGCACAAGCATGGCCCCAGCCTGCTCCCACCCTCTCCCTCTTTCCCTGGCAGATCCACTCAGACTCAGATGAGGGGGACGGCTCCATCAAGTACACTATCTCCGGGGAGGGCGCAGGGACTATCTTCCTCATCGATGAGATCACGGGTGACATCCACGCCACCGAGCGCCTGGACCGGGAGCAGAAAACCTTCTACACACTGCGGGCGCAGGCCCGTGACCGGCAGACGGACCAGCTGCTGGAGCCTGAGTCAGAGTTCATCATCAAGGTGCAGGACATCAATGACAGCGAGCCGCGCTTCCTGGAGGGGCCCTACATCGGCAGCGTGGCTGAGCTGTCCCCCATTGGTAGGTCTGCTGGGTGGGACACGGTGGGTTGGGAAGCCTCCGCCTCTCTCCTGTCAAACCTTGAGCCTGCTCTACCCTGCAAACCTGCCTGCAAATCCCAGGGATTCCAGCTGAGACTAGAGCTTGGGAGCCAAGGGGAAAAATAAATAAGGTGGCTTAAGGAAAACAAGTGAATAAATCCTCTGAGCTGATTGCCAGGCTGTGGCTGAGCGCTCAGTCTCAGCCCTAAGCCGTGCCCTGGAGACGGGCTGTGGCGGTGCCAGCTGCCCACTGTGCGTTTGCCCGGGCTTTGCACTGCTCCCTCGCTCCCAAACGCTGGGGGTGGGGGGCTGGGCCGAGCCCTTGCATGCTGAGGGGCTCACAGCTGCCTGCAGTTCAGACAAGCCCAAGCAGTGTTTCTCCCTCTCTGTGCCCCAGCCCCTCACCATGCCGATTTGCTGCTCTCCAGAGCCCCGTGGCTGCCCAGCCAGCCCTTGTGCATCCCCGTGGAGCACCGCTGAGCCCCCCAAGTCCCCCTCGTGCAGCTTCCCACCCTCCTCTGAGGGGGCAGCCGTTGTTGGCTGAGATTGGGGAAATTGTGTCCCTTGTGACAGAAGTGTGGCCTCCCCATGTTGCTGTGAGCTTGCCTGTTCCCTTGCCACCAGACATCTGCAAAGTCCATTGGTGATCAGCCTCGCCGAAGTGCCGAGCGTGCCGTGAGGGTGCAGAGCGCAGCCCCCCGGGGCCGGCAGAGCGGGGCAGCACGTGCTGCGCTGTCCTGGGTGTCGGAAGGGGCGCGGGGAGGCGATGCGTGAGCTGCAGTGTCACTGCCCAGCTCCCGAGCTGGCCAGCAGCGGGTTCCCATGCTGCGGAGCACGGCTTGTGGCCGGGAGAGGGGCTGGCTTGCTGCACTGCCTGGAGCATCCCACGGTCCCCGTGCCCGCCAGGCTGTCTGCTACCCCCATTGACCAGCCAGAGCACGTGGCAGACTGCACCTGCTGGCACACACTGTGGGCAGGCAACTATAAATCACTGTTATCCATAGGCTGCCTAGAGGTAGAAGACAACCTGCAAAAGACTGACTGACATCAAAGATAAGGCAGGTCACCAGCGTCGAGGGTGCCAGGATGGCAGAGAGCGCCGGGGGAGCGGGGCTGGGCTGCGCGAGGGGCTCGGCGGGTCCTGGGAACTGCCACATCCCGGCGTGCGCGGGAGGGTCTGGCTGAGCAGGCGACCTGGCGGTGGAGTGAGGGGATGGTGCTCGGGTCTGCGCTGCCGCGGGACGGAGCTCTGGCTCTCCGTGGTTCTTGGGCAGCACGTTGTGAGACTGGTGCCTGGCCTCCAGCAGGTACAAAAGTGTGGGAATTGCCCATGCCAGAGGAGCTGCTGCTGCCTGGATTTCTGTTGGTGGATGGAGAACAAGCTCTCCTGAGGCATCCCAAATTCTCCTTCCTCTTCCATTTACCTGCACAAATCCTTTCCTGAGTCAGAGGGTGACCCCTTGAACTACAGCCATGTGCTCCTGGAGAAATGAAAGACAGCATGTGGGCAGCAAAGCAGGAGGCATCCTGTTCCCAAAGGGAAGAAAGAAATTAAATTAATCTATTTTGCTTGAACAACATGTAAAAAGGAAGGAATTCTCAACTCTGAGTATTAGACAAGGATCCCAGTTCTTTGAAAATCACCAACAATTACGGAGCTGCCTGATCAGACTGATGTGAACAAGACATATCAAAGGAGACAGTTTCTATGCGAAATTGGAGATCAGAGGGAGAAAGAAACACTGTTTCACAACATGAAAGGAGGCGATTCCTGCAAATTAAAATACTCAGAAGTTAAAAGTAAAGAGAAGTGCTGTGAACGGCATGGGCTGCGCTTCCAAGCTGCCTGCTCAGAGGGGGGAGCTGGAGCCAAGAGCCTGTTACCAGGCTGATGTCTGTCTGCCTGCGACAGCCTTGGAGCTCTGTAGCCTGGCCATCCCAGGCAGTGTCAGGGCTCCTCTGTAGCTGTGGAGATGGCTTAGCCGACAGGGCAGGGATTGCTTCACCCAGTTTCTTCCAGTGGGGCCGCCACGTGGTCCCCCGCAGCATGAATGCGGAGCTGGAGGGTATCCATGTGCTGCTGCTCCAAGTCCCCGGCTCCCTCCTGGTTCTCCCTCGGCTTGCCAGGGCTTTGCCCGGGAACAGGTAGCACAAAGGGCAGGATGGACACATCCTGTGAAAGCATAAACAGGGAAGCCTGAGGAGTGGCTTTCTCCTCAACCCACTGGGGCCCAGCAGCTGCCCTACTCCTCCATTGTGGCCCTGGTGTGGACACAGAGGGAGACGAGGCTGGTCATGGACCTGGTGTCTGAAGTTCAGCTGTGGAAAGGGCTGAGGATGCAGAACATGGGATGCTGCCTGGGCCAGGGAGGTAAAGTTCAGGACTTTCTTATGGGAAATACCCTGCCAGGCCCTCTTTGTGTGGGAGTGCTCCTTTTGTGGCATCAAGGCCAGGTGAGCTGTGATCATGGCTTTTTTTGTGGTTGGCATTGGCAGTGATGTTTGTGGTCTCTGAGCTGGACAGATAATCTTCCCTAGACCTGAGGGTTTTTTTCATAAGAGTGGTTGGGGAATGTGCCTTGCTGCCTTCCTGAATGTGGATGGAGGTGATCCTCTGTACTGGCCAAGCAGCAGTAGGGAGGCTGGGCAGCTTGGGGAGAGCTTGGGTTGGCTGTTAATACATCATATCAAGGTCAGAGCCTGGGGACCTGTTGGTAAACGTGCGTTGTCTTGGCTCCATTTGGGTGGAGATGTTTCCCTGGATCACCCGTGTTTCTGGTTCAGCCTTGCTCTGCTGGAGAAGGGGCTGGGATGGGCCCACCCCGGGGGACAGGGCTACCCTCCAGCTGGAAATTGTTTTCAGGGAGCTGCTCTGACAGCCTGAAAAGCAAAGGGTGACCCCCTTCTTCCTCTCCTGCTTTGCTTGGCCTTGCTGGGGTTTGTGCTTGGGGCTGCCCAAGTGGATGGTTTTTCTTCTCACTCATGGTAGCTATCAGCCAAAAGCATAGTCCCAACTCCCAGAGGTGGGTGCTTTCCTGGGGCATAAAAAGGAGTAAAACAAATACGGTCAGATCCGCTTGGTGACAGCAGGAGCAGATCAAAGGACATTATTTGCATAATGAAGGAGTACTAATTGGGAGGGAAAGTAATTTGATTTCCTAGTGTCTGAGAGGGAATAACAAATGAGAACACTGCACAGACTCACAGAGTAGCTGGGAGCGCTTTGCAACACACCTGCCCCTTGCTCTGTGCAGGGGCCAGGGCAGCACATTTTGGTAGTGACAGCATACATGCTGCTTGAGACTGCAAGACTAAGTCAGGGGACTAAAGATCCTTTTGTTCCAGGATCTTGTCCTAATAGTGGCCAAAGCGGATGCTTATGGAGGAGGAGCAGCACACACAGCATGTGTGATGTTCCTCTTAATGCTCACACAGCCAGCAACCAGTTTCAGCTTGGGGATTTCTTCAGCTGTGGGTGGTTTCCGTGGGTTTAGTCAGCTTGAGTGTGTCTTCCATGAACTCATCCAGATTCACTATAAACCTCTCCAAAGGGAAAGGAAAGGGGGTTGCTACTGCTGTCTGATGGAGCAAGAATAGCAGATGCAAGATGGTCAGACAGGTACAGCCAGAGCCTGGGATTCGTAAGAGGCAGAGGTGGTGCTTGGAGCTAACCCCAGCCCATGGAGCCAGGCTGAGCACGTGCTGTGGCCCTGGAGAAGTCAGCGTGTTCTACACGCAGTGCACAGGCCCTAGGCTGGCGCTGGGCTCCTGTGCTTGGAGGAGGCACATCCTGAGCGGGGGCTGAGCCAACAGCCTTGTCTGGGGTCCCTTGGCATGGCAGGTCCAGCTGCAAGCGCAGGCTTCAGCTGACTTCTCTCTAGAAACCTCATCTTGTCGGGGGCTGCTGGGGCATCAGGAGAAACAGCACAGCTGCTGAGGGCTGTTTTGCAGGCAGCGGGGCACAGAGCGCTGCCAGGGTGCAGAAGAGGCAGGTTTGACCCCGTGCTGTGCGGGGCTGGCCGGGGAGGCAGCTGGAGCTGCAGCAGGACCCAGAATGAGCAGGGCCTTGTCCTGCCGCAGGGCTGCCGGGGGCAGTGCCTCGGGTCCCCAAGGAGGGCAGGGGCCGGTGGTACTGCCTGGGCGTGCTCTTGCCGCTTGCCCCGTGCCCACTGCCGGGTCAGGCCATGCGGCTGCCCGCAAGCCAGCCGGGGAGCAGTCTGTCTGCAGGATGGGGCCCAAGCTGCAAACCCTGTTGCAGCCCTACTGCTGTCCTGTCCCCTCAGCGAGAAACTGTGGGCTCAGAGCTTGCAGGCTGCTCTGTGCTGCTCTGGGGCTTGGCCTCCGCGGAGGAACCCTAGTGCAGATCGCTCCATAGTGCCTGAGTTGAGCAGAGTCTAGCACCAAAGGAAGAGACCTGCAGCTGCAGAAGAAGGTAGGATGGGACCCAGCTAAGTGCCTGGGAGCTGCAGGAGCTTCACCTTGTAACAGGAGATGCTAAAATTAGCTGTATTTTGGGCTCTCTTCCTGAGCTCCCTGGGGTCTCCTTAACAGCTGTCTGCTGCACACAAGCATGAGCCCAAATCCAGCACACGGTGCCTCCTGCCAGACAGCTCTGCGGGTTGCAGGGTGGGTGTTGGAGCCCAGAGCTCACTTCTGGGCTGTTTGGGCTGCTCAGAGCCTGGGGTGAGGGGTGTGCTAGGAAACGTGCATCCTTTCATTAGGACCTCGCTCTTCTCTTGGTGCATTCTGTTCTCCTGATTTCTCTGTGTAGCACCAAGTCCAGATTAGAGATGATTTGGCGGTACATATAGAAACTTGGGGTCAAGCCCTGACTCTGGCACAAAGCTGGCTGAATGCAGAAGTGATTATTGTGAAGAGAAATTGCTTAATCTCCATGCTGGAAGCAGAGAAAAATACTTTGTTTAACATGCAGCCAGAACACTTGCAGGCAGCCTGATTTTTTTTTTTTTCCTCCCTTGA